ATCTGCCGGAAAAACCAGTGCCGTTAGAGACAAAAATCTGCGGGGAGCTATGCAAAAAACGCATCTCCGCACGAGCAGCCCGTGCGTTGGCCAATTATTAATTTATGTGAATTTTTAGGACAACCAATTAAATTACGATTCATTTATACATTTTAGTGGTAAGTTGGTACTTGTGCATGCTAGGGAGCTTGCCCGCCATGTGCTTACTTATAAGCAACCATCGAAAAAGGGAGCCATCGATTTGTTTTCTTGCTAACGAACTTTTGCTGCTGGCATTTGCTACCATTCGGACTACTTCTCGAGTGCATCCGCTTCTTATTGAGTGCAGATAGAGTCGAGATTTTGACTTTTCACTCTAAATTCCCAAAAACAGTCATTTTGTTTCCCTATAGGGCAAAAAAGGGAGTAAAAGAGGCAATTTACTCGCTCCTGTCGTGGGCCGATGTTTCACGTAAGGTGCATAGGTGGTTCGTCTTTTTTCTTGTCTTTTTTTAGTAAACGTAAAATTTTTTGTAGAATTTATGGTGGCACAAAATGATGCATTTGAGCTGCATGGACAAGCGCAATCGCAATTTCTGAATTCGGACGCTATCTATCTTGCAACTTACGCTGCGTTGGCTATTCTCTATGCAGATGACTATGAGAAATTTACGAAGGTAGATTTTCATCTGGATTTTATGCTGCATACCTCAAGTTTGCGTTTATCTCATGTTCGATCTATGTGCATCCGATGTGCAGGTGCATTTCATTAGCATCACTAGCATGGAAAGCATATTTTTTTATACATCAACTTCATTCACTCTTTCTCTTTACTTTCTCTATCCATTCTAACAAAACAGTTTAAATTTTAATCAGTTTCAAACTAATTACCACAATCGTCGTACTGACGAGGTCAAGTTTTGGTATTGGTAAGAAACGTATACGGCTTAATGGACCGAGATGTTTCTTATCATTTATAAAAAAAAAATTTCAACATTTTATTAGTTCTCCTTTTAAAATAAGAAATATTTTATTTTATTATTTTATCTTATTATAGCAGTCCCGGCAGTTACTAAAACTCGGCTCGGCTACGGCTGGGGGACGCTCTAGATTCTTTGCTAACGCTGTTCCGCAGCGTCGCTTGCCGGCACTGTTTGGTACACTGCCAGCGAGCCCTGGGTAACGCTACCTAGCGCTCAGTGTTTGGGTGGCATGATAGGAATTGGTTGGCAAAGAATTTAGACATAGTTGGGGAGTGATGAAAGCTTAGGTACAACTCTGGGAGAAGGAAT